TTCAGCCTTTGTTTTCTGCAGAATGCAATTTGCAACTGAACTGATGTCAGTGAGTTTGGGTAGTAACAGGTTGTGGGTGTTAATCTGGCTTCCTCTTGAGATGCAATTGTCTGCTCCCTTAGGACAGTGGTGATGTCTTCACTTTCCATAGTACCTGGCATAGTGTAGACCATGTACTAGGTCAGTGATGGCGAACCTATGACACGCGTGTCAGAGGTAACACACAAACTCATTTTTTGGTTGATTTTTCTTTGTTAAATGGCATTTAAATATATAAAATAAATATCAAAAATATAAGTCTTTGTTTTACTATGGTTGCAAATATCAAAAAACTTCTATATTTGACACGGCACCAGAGTTAAGTTTGGGTTTTTCAAAATGCTGACACGCCGAGCTCAAAAGGTTCGCCATCACTGTACTAGGTGCTCAATAAAGACTTTGCTATGTTAGAATATAAGCAGCTTAGAGGTCATCTACTAAAACCCTTTGATTTTCCAGTTGGTGACACTGAGGAAGAGGATCTTGGGCCAAACACCGAGGAGTGACGGCCCCTTTTCCAGTTGACTACCACTATGTCTGACCCAAACCATAAGCCATGACTCCTGGAGGAAAGTTTATTTAGAAGCCCGCCCCCTTTTTTGAGAGTATACTATGTTTCAGACATGATGCAAAATTTTGGAGCGATAACTAAATTATGGTGCCTACACTCAAAGCCCTTCTAATCTAGTGGGGAAGACAGATCTTTAAGCAGACATTTTTATTTCAATTGGTTAGCGCCAGGTACTTATAAGCAGACATTTTTAATACAATGTTCATGTTATAACAGAGCTGAGCTTTGGTGATATGTAAACGCCTGTCACGAGATCTAACTCACGCCCAGAAGAGGTCAAGGGAGGGTGTTTAGGAGAATGACAAATGTCTTGGCAGAGACATAAAACTAAATAAGAACAAAAGAGCCAATTAAAATTGTCTTGTTTATCAAACCATAAGACCATTGATCCTTGATCAATGAATGTTGGCTGAAATGAAAAAATGAGAGAAGCTCGAAGTTCAGTCCTCAAATTCTTGTCACTTGCCAGATCTGCTCAGAGTAACTTCTTGCAAGTGAAGCTTCCCACAGAGACCTGGGTTCTAGCTCCTTTTGGGGACTTGCAGTGGGGAACGAAGCAGATTTATTAACCTGCCTTTGACTCCCTGAGTACAAATCACATGGCCCGCCTCCCTTTGCATCTGGCAAATGAACTGTGAGATTCAGACTCTGAGCACAAAAGCACTTTGAACTCTCGTGGAAAAAATAATCATAGCGACTTAGGACATCAAAGCAGCTCCTTATTTTGAAGAGCTCATGATCTGCACTGGGCTTAGCTGCTGGTAGGAGCTTAAGGACACCAGTAATTGGCAAGGGCTTATCTTCGACTACCATTTGACCCACACAACCTCGTACATGGTTTTACACAGCTTCATAGAATGTGGGAAAAAGCACTTCTTTTAAAAGTAATGTAAACTGAAATGCTAAGGCTTTTCAAAGTGGGGCTTTAAGTTGACCTTAAAAAATTCATACATATACACACATATATGTATGTATAAATTCATATGTATGCATGTATGTATATATGTGTGTGTGTGTGTTATATAACACTAGAGGCCCAGTGCATGAAATTCGCAGTTCGGGACCCCTTGCTCCTTACCGCCTGCCTGCTTGCTGCTCCTTAGTGCTGCTGTAGAGGTGGGAGAGGCTCCCGCTACTGCTGCTGTGCTCCCAGCTGTGAGCCTGGCTTCTGGCTGAGCAGCGATCCCCCTGTGGGAGCACACTGATCACCAGGGGGCAGCTCCTGCATTGATCATCTGCCCCCTGGTGGGCGGTTCGCATTATAGAGAACAGTCGTTCTGGTTGTTCTGCCATAATGGTCGCTTAGGCTTTTATTATATAGACTAGAGGCCCAGTGCATGAAATTCATGGGGGGGGGGGGGGGGTCCTCCCTCAGCCCAGCCTGCACCCTCTCCAATCCGGAACCCCTCAGGGGATGTCCAACTGCTGGTTTAGGCTTGATCCTAAACCGGCAGTCAGACATCCCTCTCCAGTCCTGGACCACTTGGCTCCTAATCGCTCACCTACCTGTTTTCCATGGTCGCCCCTGACAGCCCCCCCCCCACCCGCCAGCCAGGTTGCCTCCAACTGCCCCTCTCTGCCAGCCTGGTTGCCCCCAACTTCCCCCCTTCCAGCCTAATCACCCCTAACTGCCCCCCCTGCAGGCCTGGTCACCCCCAACTGCACCCCCCACACACTGGCCTGGTCACCCCTAACTGCCCCCCCTGCAGGCCTGGTTGCCCCTCACAGCCCGCCCCCCACCGCCTGCCAGCCTGGTCGCCCCACGCAGCCTGCTATTCAATCATTTGGTCGTCCCTCACTAACCCCCCTGCCGGCCTGGTCATAGGCAACCATCTTATGAGGGCTAATTTGCATTTTACCTCTTTATTATGTAGGATTGTATATGTGACATGTCAACATTAGCCTGGCTCAAAGAAGTAGCCAAAGACATTAAAAGCCCTAAAATTTTATTTTTCAAAATAAGTCTTGGCCTTGGCCTCACAGATGCTTCTGGCTTTGGCTTTATCAGCCAGAAAATGCTGGTCATTGCTTTGCTTTCTGAAAGGGTAACCAGACTAGTAAGGGTAGAGTAAAAGAGTCCCGTTTCCCAGGTAGCCGGATGGAGAGCTTTAGTATTAGATCCTCCATTCTTTCCTGAAAAGACGCAAGTTATCAGGTACCAATTTAAAGAGTTAGGCCAGTGATGTTCCCTACAACGTCATAGGTAAGGAGGAGATTCTATTTTCCGTCCTAAAAAGTGATTCCTGTCTAACTAAGTTCCTGTCCAGTGTTGAACCTACTGACAAATGCAACAATGTCCTTGAATACAATAGTAGCAAAGAGGCAAGCAGAGTGTAGGTCAGGCAGCCCAGTTGGGCAGGTGAGGTGTATTAAATTGTAGCCACGCATGGGTGCTAGGATTATACACTGAGAATGTGGGTGCGGGAAGTCATGACTGCGAGAAGAATTCTTGGGGATCATTGTGGTGGGTCAGAGTGTGCTGCTTTTGGAAGAGGTGCCCAGAGGCCGTGAAACCTAATCTTCATCCTCGATCCTCTGACTTGTCTCTCTCAGTTTCTCTCACCGACTGTCTAAAACCGTGAGGACCCAGAGTGCTGGGTGACCAAACCTTATATGCATTCCCCGAAGGGTCAAGTTTAATTACAGTTGTATTCTGGAGGCCCTGGCAGGTCACGAAGGAGACCCTCCGATACCTCCACGAGGACCCTCAGGCCCAGTCACCTGAGAGTGTCTGCTTGCACAGACTGGAGGGAAGATGTGCCTCATATCGTCGGTGCCAGTTCGTTGCCGGGCACTCATATTTTACTTTAGTTTTCCGCTTGCGGGCAGTTATCCCCTTTTAACTAGAATTACTGCTCCCTTCTCCTGATCCTGGACAAGAAGCCCTTTCTCCAGCCTTGTGGCCAGAGAACTTATGGTTTGTGCAATCCGAGTCGCAGAGCCAAAAAGATATTACTGATTGGGGTTACCAGCTAGGACCTTCATTCTTCTCATCAATGCAGAAAAGATGTGAAGGCCAAACAAATGAAAGCAAAGCAAAGTGGGACTTATGGGAGATGCATTCCAAGCAAGGGGTGGGCCAGTGGAGAGAGTCAATGGCCCTGCACTCCTGCTTACATGGTTTAAATGAGGTATTTTCTGGGTAGAGGCTTTGATTTGCATTCAGGGATGATTGACAGGAAAAGGCTCTGTCACAATATTCCTTCTGTGCATGTCCTTACCCATAATGCATATGGAAAAACCCACAAGGTGTGAGTGTGTGTCAAAACCTCAATGTAAATTTTATTATAATTAGTCCAGGGCCTTCCTAAGGTCTCATGGAGGTCATGTCATTTTCCTCTGAACTTGTGTCTGCTGGGTGCTGGGCCTCCCATAGAGAGGCGATGATGGTCTGATAGCTGCTAGCACGCCAGGGCAGGCCCCACCCCAGCTACTCAGGTAACTTCCTACCTAACAGGATGCCTTAGATGGGAGAGCGTTTTTTAAACTAAGCAAAGTTAATGAAAGACTTTCAAAACTCAAGTGACATATTTGAATTCTTCCAACTATTTATCTTCCACTATTTCAGATATGGAATCTCATCTAAAAAAATATACTGTTGTATTTTGATCTTTCTTTGGAATTTTTTAAAAACAAGTTTGATGACCTGCCTGAGCAGTGACTTGCTTTGCGTTGGGTAAGCGGGCAAGCAGGCAGCCCCGCTTCTCCAAGGAGATCCCAACCCCTAGCCCCTGGAAATCTTCCCTGTGCAGGTGAACTACTGAATGCTAGTCATTCTCATAGAAAACTCCCACCTACAGGAACGGGGGAGGGGCAGGGAGACCCCACTCCATGTCAGAGCTGAGGCTGCAATCCCGCGCACTAGCCAGGCAGAGCTGAATTCTCTGAGCTCTACTGGAAGATCCTCACCCACCGACCCACGCCGCCGAACGGGAGGGAGAGGGAGAGGAGGGGGAGGGCGTGTTCAATGGCGACAGGAGCGCTGGGGAGCCCGCTCCTCACTAGGATCCCGGCTCAGGCAGCCTTGCGGTGGGCGTCCCAGCCAGGCCCCGCGGTGAGCCGGAGAGGATGTCTCCCTCAGCTTCCCAGGCGGTGCAGGGAGAACCGGAGCCTAAGGTGGGTCACCGACCAGGCAGGGAAAACGCGGTGCAGACCCATTAGGAAGGGGCGCGGGTCCCGGGGACCCAGCGGGACTGGAGAGTGGGGAAGAGGTGGCCTCGGGGTTCGGACCTGCCCTTTCCCAGCAGGGTGAGGGAGTGAACCCGACACGCCAGTTTAGCAGCGAAGGCACAGTCACGCCACCCTCCACCTGCCCCACCCTCCCGCTGGAACTGCAACTCCATAAGCCCTCGCTCCATGGGGGCGGGGCCAATGCCTCCTATACCTGCCGATTGATGCCGAGCGCAGGGACTGGTCCCAAGGCACCGAGCGCTGAGCGGACGGCCCAGCACCCAGCGGGCCGGACTCGGGCAGCACCAGAGCGCGCCTGGCAGCAGTGGGCGCTCGCGATCTTCCTCTGCCCAACGCACTCTCCCCCAGGGCCCGGCCTCCTGCGTCCCCTCCTCCTGCTCCTGCTCCTCCTCCTGCTCCTCCCCTCGGAGGGACTCAGCTCCGAGCCTCCTGCCTGCAAAGTCGCCGGCGCGCGGGCTACAGCGAGAGGACGCCACAGCCAGCCGTGTCTCTGGGTGCCCGCGCCCCTTCTCTCCTGCCTATCCCGGAGTGTCCCGAACCTCGCTCCGCCGGCCACCGCTGCTCGACGGCACTGCCCATGGCCCAGCCCGAGAGCCGACTTCGGGGGCCGGACCTGCTGAACCGCAGCGCAGCTCAGGTTAGTGGCAAGACACCGGGCGCTCCAGGTGCTCCGACCTGGAGTCCGGGACTTAGTGACAGCTCAGGGCTCAAGGTGAGTCGGCTGGAGCAAGTGTAGTGAATGTAGGGGGACAAGGAAGGAGAGACGGGATTTTCCCATCCTCCTCACCTCCTGCCCTACCCCCGAGGCCCCCACCCCCAGCTCTGCAAGTCCGGAGGGACAGTTTATTCTTTGCTGGCAGGTCTCCGGGTTTCTGACTATTGTGCATTGGATGGTGTTTGCCTTAGCAGAGCGCAGAGCGGGAGGTTTCATCCTGGCAGCCGATGCTCCGTAGGACCATCAGGGAAAGCCGCCGGAGGGCAGAGCGCAGCGGACCCGGTACCCCTCGAGCTGGGAACTGGGGCGCGGATACAGTCAGCAAAAAGTCCTGAGGTCGAGGGAGCACCTGGGGTGGGGAAACCTTGTCCGGTTGAAGTGGAAAAGAGAAGGGGCATCTCCGAGGGGCGGGGATGCTTGGGAGCGGGGAGATTGGGGCTGCAGGCCTGAGAGTAAGTAGCCTCTTTCCCCACATGGCCATTATACACTATCTTGATTTTTCCTGTTACTTTTTACATCCCCCTCTTTTTTTTCTCTTTCTGCCTCTGTTTCTATTTCAAGCAACTTGGGTGGCGGCAGCGGATGAGGGTGAGGGGTGGCTGGGCGCCGACCCGCGGTGGGAGCCGGAGCCCCAGCTCCAAGGGATGGGCTCCCTCGAGGAGGCTGACTTCTCCAGGTGCGCTCCGGAGCCTGGAGACGGACCGCGCGCTGCTCCCCTGCTGGCCCCACCTGCCCGGGAACAGAAGGGAGAGCCCTGGATGGGCTGGGGAAGCGGCGGGATCAGGAGCCGGGCACAGGGCGTGCTAGGTGCCGCGGTTTGGGTTGGCGCTGTATGTCTTACCCCTCATGGACTCGCCAGGCACCTCCTTGAACCCGCGGGCCCCTCTATCCGGAGAGAGGGCGCAACCCTCCTCCTCGGGCCCCCTACTTTGCACGACCACTCGCATCCTTGCCTCGCCTTGCGCGAGTCTTGCTCCTCCCCCATCTTTATCCGCGGCTATTTTTATCCAGTACTTGCACCAAGATGCTTTGGGGGAGGGGGGCGATCGGGGAGGTGAGACCAAATCCACTGTCTTTGAATTGCGCTCCCAGAAGCGGTCCGCTGGCTTGCAGGGAGCAGCCGCCGGGAGCGGCCAAGGGATCACGGAGCAGCACAGTGCACCCGCTCCTCCTCCAGCCGCCGGAGCGCTGGGAAGCCGGTACCGCTGGCTCCGCGGCGCCGCCCGCTGCTCGCCCGCCGGGAGAGCCCGTCCCCTGCGCCCAGGCGCGGTGCTTCCAGGGCTTCTGTGGCAGCAGCCAGCGCGCACGCAGGCTTCTCTCCATCTGACTCATGAGTTCTTGCTTTGCAGCCAAATCTCACCTTAATTTGTTGAAACCCAATGACCAACTTCCACTCAAAGGTTAATTTCAGGAATTCCATCTTTAAAAAAAAAAAGCAGGGGAGACACCCCAGCTCCTGCCTCCCTGCGTTTTTAAAGCCCATCTTTCTGTGTCAGGAATGCTGATTCTGCTTTCTGCTTTCTCAGTAACAATTGGGAACAATCACCATCCGCCTGACCTAGTGAAATTCCAGGAGAGGGACGCTTCTGCGTTATGCTTTGTATTTCCAGGGCTTAGATGCGTTCCTCCCCTAGGACGGCAGAAATAGCACTTTGAAATGGACCACGCTGTTACGTAAGGTTTCCCCTAGCGCCAGGCAGAGCGAGAGCAACTTTGAAAGGAGCCTCTCCTGGAGTCAGGAGGGCTCTCTAACTCTGCCAGCGGAGTTTGACAAGGGTGCGGACTTTGTGACTAAGCACCCCTAAGCCCGCAGTGAATTACGACAGTAGCTTGACTGAGGGTCCCTTCCTGAGGATTCTGGAGCATTTATTCTGGGCTGCCTGGTGAGCAAGACACTGTAACTTTAAGATGGGAGATTTCCTTTCTGTTTTGGAAAACTGGTGAGAAAGTGGTACCTTGAGCTTGCGGATGGGAGCAGGAAACCCCCAGGCTCTAGGCTCGGTGGGCGAAGCCTCCAGTCCTGTGCACAAAGCAGTGCTTTGCACAGTGTAGGTGTCTGGGAACCCTGTGCTTGGGCTCCACAGTCTAGTTGGGGCTTGTGCTTTTGTTGCCAAAAGAAGAAACTCTTTCGCTGGAAAAGTCCCCCAAGCTCTTGAAAGAAAAGGTAATGCGGATGTTTGTCTTGAATGAAAATGTGCTGGTGATTAGAAAGGGGCCAAGAAGATGGACTGGCTGGTGGGAAATGGCCTGATCAGTGCCCCTGCTTTTCCCAGACCACGGCATTCACCCGGACTGGCACATGCCAGCCTGGAGTACTAAGTCATGTTCTCTCTGTTGAGGCTAGAGTTTGGAGGGGGTGGGGGAGGGGGGTGGAGGGAAGACTAACATGTGTTGATGTCCCAATGGAACTGAGCCTGGATCCAGGGTCATGGCCCAGGCACCAGGTTCCAGGCCGTGCCTCTCAGCCAGGGAACCTCCCTGAGAGACAGTCCTGGAGGAGTGAGGAGTTATAGCTTTCTAGCTGCTGGTGGGAGGGGCAGGAACTTTCCAGCTCTTGTAGAAGCCATAACTTTCCGGCTGGTATTGGGGAAGACCTGGGTTGCTCCCCATCACTTTGGGGTAACTGTCGATCTTCTTTCAAATCGCAATAATGGCCCAGTGCTGTCTACCGTGGCTGCCCTTTTCCAGTGTGTGTGTGTGGGGGGGGGGGGGGAGGGATGCCAGGGTGCAAGCTGAATTTGGAGGCCACTTCTTTCCCCCACATCCTAGGTAAATGTCTTTTCCTCCTTCTGAACTTTGGATTCTTCTTCTGTAACTCAGAGATTGAAAGATTATTATGAGAAAGTGAGATCATGCATGTGAAGAGCATTTTGCTGATTCTAAATGTGCAGGCTATTTGCCTTTCCTACAAACCTGATTCTGTTTGTTGCAATGCTCACTGTAGTCTGCATGTGTCTGTGTGGATTACATAGTCTAAATGGAGAGGATTTCACACAAGGTGCCAGGATCTCCTTGTGAGCGATCTACCTGAAACCCACCAGCACCAGGCTTCTCAGGCCATTACTTTCTTGGTTTTAGGATCAGAGTAAAATGCTTTAGAGGTTTGTTTTTTCTTTTTCTTTTTAGCTTAATGCACTTCGAATGTCTTAAGATAACATATTTTTGGAGGAAGGGGCCTGCTACTGATTCATCAGAAAAGAAGGAAAGTTGCAGATGAGTGTATCCATTGGAGAAAAGTGACACATGACCAGTTTGGGGAGATGACCCGGGCCTCCCTTATCTAAATCTGTCACTGGCATAAAGTACTGGCTCTTGATGGCCTTTTCAGCCTTGTTCAGTTTGTCCCCAGCACATAGCTAAGTGCCGGGCACCTAATCGATGTCTGATAAGTATTTCTGAAATCACGAACGGATGCTTGAACTGCATCTTCACGGCATCCCTGGGCTGTGCGCAGGCAGATGGCATCCTTTCTATTTTTAAAGATTTGGAATCTGCAGATCAGAAACGTTAATGAACATTCTGAAGGTACAAAGGGTTCCAGACTGAAGTTCAGGTCTGCCTGTTCTCATTCTGCACCTGTGCTGGCTCGCCCTCCCTGCCCCCGCCACCGAGAGTCCTCCGAACCCAGGGGGACTTTTGCGCCATGGAAGGTGCCCAGCGACCAAGGAGCGCTCTTATTCAGGGGGCACAGCCTTCCTTTCCGGGAGAGACTTTCTAGTGGCCGTGGACTCCTTCTGCTTGTCTATATCTCCACGCCCCGAGCCAGGGCGCCATGAGTGATCCCACCTGGGACCTAGAGCCTTGAGGGATGAGCTAAAGGACACAGGGCAGTGGGGTGCTTACTGACCACCGTGGGTCATGAATCAAGTGGCATGTGCAGCTGCACAGGTGTCCTGGGGTGTCTCGGGGTGTCCCAGGGGTGCAGGTCTGTGGCGTGAACCTGGCATGTTCCTTCGTGCCTAGGTTCCCTCATCCTTCTCATTTTCCAAGCCTGGCCCTGCAGCCTCTCATCAATCCCTGGAGGTAATTGGTCTCCAAGTAAACTTGCTTTCTCTCTGCGTTAGCCTGAGCTGTCACGAGCGGACGCCCAGCCTCTCACGATTCATCTCCAGGCCTGCCTCTGGCGTGAGGCATTCTTGGCTTCCTCTACCCACAGGGAATAAGCGCCTAGCTTTTTCGGGCCATTAGAATAATACTTAGGGGCCATAATTTGTCAATAGTTATGTGGAACCATGAGAGTTCTAGAGAAAGGGATACATTATTCTTCCAAGGAATAGCCTGAATGTAAAGGAAATAGATCCCAGTGGGCATTTTTTCTTTAGTTTTTTTCCTCTGTGTTGCATGTTTTCTGGTTGCTTTCCAGCAGGGGTCGCAAACTCAAATGCATTTCAGTGGCCCAGCAAGTAATAACCTTGGAAACAGGCCCGGGCTTGAGCCTGGGCCTGAGCCTGGGGACAGGGGGTGCTATGGCTCCGATCCATCACAGGGGTTCCCAGTGGGGCCTCAGGCCCCATTTTGCCAGATCTGGGGTGTGTGTGTGTGTGTGTGTGTGTGTGTGTGTTTTCAGGATAGTCTGTAAGTTCACAATTTTACATAGAACCTACTGACTTTCAAGTACCCGCAGCTAATTCAATATTTTAAAGTAATACCAAATGGGCCAAACAAAACACCTATGTAGGTAGGCCTCCTATTTGTCCCAAGGACCCCCAATATGCAGCTTCTGGTTTTGGTGGCTAGAGAAGAAATTGGTTGTAATGTGAGACTTAGCGAAATCAGTTACCCAGAATATCAAGGCAAGATTGTGCTGGGCATGCAGTGTAGACTGTGTTCCAGTGAGCAACCTTCCCATTTACAGATGTGTGCAGTGTTCCTTTCTCTGCCCTAATGAGTAGTTACAAGGATCAAATGTATCCCATTAACAT